TACAGAAGACAGCACGAGACGAGGCAGATAGGAACGAACGAGAAATAGCGTTGGACATGGAGATGGTTTGTATTCATTTTGCTTGTGCCGAAATCACACACAGCTACAATTTTGCATTTTGCGCTCAATTTTACTTCGGAACAGAACGAATGGCTCAACCTTTTTCAATTCATTTAAGTTTGAATAAAAAAAAACCTTTTCTTTTGCTTTTTACTTCCACCTTTTATTTGTTAATGCGAAGAAAACAACCAATTTCTTTTGAATACACAAGACTTTTGAATTGAAAATTATTTTCCTAGAGAAAGCGAGAGATAGATAGAGAGAGAGCGAAAATAAATACACATTTTACCGTTCTAGCAATGAATAGAATGTTCACATTGCGAACAAGTGAAAGTAGTTGTTAGCATGTTCAAATGATTACCTCAACAGTTCCCATTCAATGGGAATGTTATTTCATTTTCCTTCTCGTCTAAAGTTTACTTTGCCTTTTCACAGCCCAAAGATCCAAAATTCATTTTGAATTTCATCTTCAATTCGGTGAATGTTCAAGCATTTACGAAATATTGCTGACGCATTCAATGAATATTCGTCAGATTTTCCAAATTCAAACATAAGAGAGCAGACAATCTTGACGCAAAAGCACATCTTGATGATTTGCATGAATATTTACCGTCGTTTTTTTTTCTGTTGTGAAGAACATCAGAGGAAAATGTAAACAAAAATCGAAAAAATGCAACGTTCGAAGGTTAGGATAAATATAATGGCGAATAGAGAGATTTAGGCTCGGAGTTTTATTTCAATGTTCAACGAAAAATCGATTTACCATTAGCTAAAAGTATATTATTAGGCAATTTTTTGATGGAAATACAAGTTTGCAATTTTTTTAAAAACAAATTCAGCAGTGGCCGTGAACTAATTTACTTTCCATATTCAACTTACGTTTCAAATAGGTCACCGTCATTGAAATACAACGTCATTTGATTTCCTGGGTATTTTATTTTTCGAAACATCTAAATCAATGAGTTAAACTCATCGAGTTTAAACGGTTTACTAGATCAAATGAATGTTGAAGTAACACGCCATGCTACTAAAGCTTGGCTGCTGAACGCGTTTGGTTCATTTTCCCGCATTTGTTGTTCTGATCATTGAACACAACCCCAAATTCAGTGTAAGTGTTAATTTGAAAACCGATTGTTTCATGTCGATCGACAAGATTCTCTCTGGCTAATCGCCATCAATGAAGCGATTGATCAAAACCGCGAAAGAAAACCATAGGTCGCACTTTGCGGTTGGGTTTGGCAATTGTTGGGTGTCACTATCATAGCGTTTAATCAGTGCAAAAAGTTGTGATGCTTATCGAAATGTCATTTCGATAAAGATGGCTTCAAGTTGTCGACTGCCATCGACGATTGGCTTCTGTATCGTATTTCAACGGTTGTGGTATTTCGCGCGCGCTGTGGTCGAGATTCAGATTCATCAATCGTGTCGTAAAACAAAAAGAAAAGTTTCGGAGCGGAAAAACGCAGGCGATTTGTGTGTGTGAGTGACAACAGTTAACAATACCCAACCGACAAGCGGCAACAATGCAATGAGTTTGTGTCCTCCCCTTCCCTGTCGGCTCAGTATCAGTCTATCGATATGGTTGTTTGTTTAAACGTCAATATGACCGCAACGAGAAAGATAGAAAAAGTATTTTCATTCCTTTCGGATCATTATTATATCCCTGTGTATCGTCTTCGCGTGGCTTCGGCGACGGCAGAAACGAGCGAAAAATCTCAAATCGAAAACTCGTTTAGCTAAACAGTTGTGATTGTGTGTGTGTGTGTGTGATTGTTGTTTCATTTTGTTGGCGCTGTGTGTTTGGTATCTCTATCTTTCGAGGATGTAAAGTTATCTCAGTCGCAGCTTGATACACCGGGATTAAAGTATTAGGATTGGGATTTCTAGTTGTTCGTGTGTCGGTTGTTTTTTCTCTCTTTCTTTTTTTTTGGTTTTTCGTCAGTTTATGTTTTCAGCACGAAAGCTTTGTGTCGTTGTTTGTTTATTGCGCGCTGCGTATGAATTCCAAACCGAAATCCATCAGTCGTTTAGCAGAGCAAGAGGTAGTAAGTAAAGAGCGAAAACAAAAGCGACCAAAAAGAAACAGCAACGCTGCGAGAGAAGAAGTAAAAACTGTGGCGGCAATAATGACAAAGTACGCACAATCGTTTTTATCCAACAGAAAGATTGAATTTATTTATTATGGATAACACGCACTTTGCCAGAAACATCGATATCGAGATTTGGGATTTCGTTGTTTCTGTCCGACTTTTCTATCCCTTTTTTTTCTTTCGCCTCAGCCTCTCGTTGTCGCTCTCGTTCGCCGTCAATGCAATCGATGTAAATGCTCAGATTGGCAAAAGCGATTTCCCAATAATTTTTTTTCCTTTCCTTTTCGCTTGTTATGAAATTTCGTAGGTAATCGAAATACATGATCCGTGGATGTTACTGTGTGCAAACTTAATCTCACATCGACCGAACAACCAACATCGAGCGAAGAGAGAAACAAAAAATGAAAAAGGAAAATACTTAATCAAGCAATCGCAAAAAATTGGTTGCTAAACTGGAAAAGTTTTTATAGATTCTGTGGTCGGGGTGGGGTGTATGAGTGTGTGTATGTTTTTTTTCTGCTTCTTCTTTTTTTCGGTCAGATTATAGTATAGTCGGGACGTGGTTGGTTCCATGTGCGCCGCATTTCCCATGCTGCAATTTCGTCTATTCAGCTTTACGTCGATTTAACGTTATGATCCACGAACAATTTGCAAATCGCTTTTTCCACATTTGACCAAATCACGGGATGTATAATACCGATTCTCTCTCTCTCTCTCTCTCTCTCTCTCTCTCTCTCTTCTGTGTTTTTCGTAGTTCGCTCTTCTCTCACACCGCTCTCCTGATCCCATTACAACGTCCATTGAATTAATCCCAACAACTAGTTTCACATCATAAAATGTAAATGCAGCAAATGAAAAAGCCAGAGTTTGAATGAATACAGAGAGAGTTACAAGTGCCGGTGAATAGACTATATGATTTCGCAAATGGTTTGTTAAATCCAATGAAGGCACACTCAACTGAACCATTTTCTATGCTCAACTCCATTTACAACCAATTTTTTTTTTCAAAATGTCTCGTGATTTTTCTTTTTTCAGTTCAAAAACAATTAATTTCAAACTGCAGGCAATGCGCACACGGTCATAACCACTTTGTTCGAGAACCAATTACCCGCAATCCATTTTTTTGAGCAATGAAAATAACATTTACCGCTAAAAGCTTAAACATCATCATCCATTTAGTTTGTACACCTTTTGATTTAGCCAAATATGCCTCTATCGACATCAACATCGTCGGTGCGTTCAACCGCCTTTTTTCTCCGCTTTTCGCAACCACTGAATTTGCAGAGAAAAATTGGTTCCATTATTAAAAACACATCACACACTTGGAACATTTACTCTATTTGCCTGCTGGTGGTGCTGCCAGTTTCGAGTGTTATTTGACACAAAAAAAGCATATGCCAGAAAAAATCTTCAAACGACACGAATGTAACAGCACTTTTTCAAGTTTTCGCTACAATTGTTGACCAGCTTGCACTCGGCAGAAATGTGTTTATTGCATTGACGCCGTTATCTTTTTCCTGTCGCTCGTCGTTCACTCACAGAAAGTGCAAAAAGTTCACATATTTACTGGCCTCTAATGTCCAATAAAAAGAAATTTAAAAGTAATTTTGTCTACGGAAAACTGACTCACATCAAGAACAAACGACAAAGAGAGAGAGAGAGAGAGCGCAAAAAAAACACCATTTCGGCTCTGACATTAAAATATAGATGTGGACCATTTTGGGCTGGAATGGAATCAGAGCTAGAATCGGAGTTACGAACCTGTAGGTTTTATCTTGTTTTGATTGCTCTGAATGAAAGTAACGGCAAAAATAGGGGTTTCAAATAATTTCTAAGAATGGAATTTTTGCTTCCCAACGAAAATCTTCTTATTACGTATCATTATTTTTCACCAAAATTGTGTGTCCATATAGGAAGTTCCCATTAGAAAGCATATGAGAAAAGATGTAAAAATTTAAATTTTGTCAATAAAAATTGTTGCGTTTAGTTTTTGGAATTCGATCGTTATCATACGTTGACTTTTCTCTCTTATTTCAATCAAATACCGTCAAATTTCAAGGAAATATACTCAAAATAATACATCATTTGTTTCATCAAAAACGTAGAAAAAAAATCAACAAACACTCAAATGCAGAAAACATTTCAGTTGAAAATGTAACATGAACTATCCAAAAATGGCTCACATAAAATGGTCCAAGTGTCATTAAAAGCAGGTCATAGCAACACGACAACGATGCAATAACTGCACAACAGTAACAACAACCGAAAAACAGATGAAAAAGCGATAACAGTAACATGAGATGTTTCTGTTCTTTCAAAACGACATGCAAATCTACAGAGCGTAGACACAACAAAATAAACATATTTCCAAGTAAATTTGTTGACGTGAAATGTAGACTTTTCTGTAAGTACATGCATGTTTTCGACGGGGAAGAAAAAAAGTTTCGATTTCTTGTCGTTGCGATACTGAATAAATCATGATGTTGGTATATATATCAGCGTTCAAAAATCTTTGAAAAAGAAAATCTGCACGAAATCAAATTCATCACATGATGGGGCGATTGTGAAAACTCGATTTATGTTACACACCCCGAACGAAACAAGAAAGAAGAAGAAGAAGAAGAAGAAGAGAAACAGCTGAAATAAAAGTTTTGTAACACTTACCGCAAATTGATTTGTGACTGCAGCGAAAGTTCTGGAATGTATGTTGTATGATTGAAATCCATTTGTATGATTTTATTTCAATGTGTATATTTTTATTTAGTTAGTTTTACATGTTTCCACAATTCTCTGCACCGTTTTTTGTTATCGTTTTTCTCCATCTTCACCATTAAACGTCAGTATATATAGTATTTATAGCAAAGCGCGTTTTCTTTACTCAATTTACTTAGTATTTATTCAATCAGAAACAACAAAGGATAGCTTCAGAGTTTGAAACTGTTGTTTTTTTTCTCGTTTTGTTAGTGTGAAACAGCCGAAACTCGTCAATTTTCTTTATTAATTTATTCATGAGCTTTGTTAATCTTACTAATGAAGAACTTCAAGTGTTTCCTTGCTTAGATAGGTGATGCTTGCATTTTAAAAACATGTCAATTTTTGAAACATTAAATCTTATCATATAAATAGTCATCATTTTTTTACATATATATCCTTTAATATATTATTCTCAACAAATCACCATGATATTTTTGTTATCTGATTATGTATAAGTTTTCTCTCTATATTTCTTTTGCTGATTTTTCATATTTTTGCTTTCACTTCGGTTTTATCGAAGTCGCAAATCATAGTACTTTTCTCATTTTTATGTCAATTTGCACCCAAAACATAAATTCCCAACAGATTTTGCTCCATTCTCCCGGTGGAGTCGAAGTGTGAATTTTGCTACTTGTCAAAATGCCAACACATTTCGAGAAAAATGAGTCAATTTTTTGGCTGAACAACGTGCGCTTGCTATTGATTGCCAAAAAAATGAAATTCCACTCTACATGGGTGCCGAATCCCGGAACGAGAAAAAAAAAAAAACGACAATAATTGTACTGAGCAATTCAATTCACGTACGTTGTCGCTAACAATTGAATACACACTAATTAATATAAACATTAAGCACGTGAGCCGAAATCGATGCGATGCGATGCATAGCGGCGTTTGGCATACCAATTTAACGAAATGAAAATGAGCTTTTACCGATTTTGATTATGTGTGAAGCGTTTAGTTTAGCATCGGATCATCATCGCTGTTTATTTACGCAGCGCGAGTTTAATATATATACGTAGTTAATTCAAAGTATGCATGACAATGGTAGTATCATATTGCTTATGCATTGCGGATGCTGTTCGCCCATAATTGTGTGCACAAAAGAAAATTTAAATTGAATCTAATTAACTGCATTATTCAGCAAAATGATATTTGAGCCGTAATTTCGCTGTGGCAAACAACATGCGCAGCCATTGCATGGGGGAGAGATGTTCGAAGGATGTAAACATGTGTGCACGTTTAGCACGCTCATTGATTTGTCTAAACGCTGACTATGTAACAACTTAATTCCCTACACACGTAAACACATAGCAAAATCGGTATACAGAAAGTTTACATCGAAAAAAATTGATTTTTCACTTTAAAAGTTTCGGATACGAATAAACAATTTATGAGAATCATTTCGAAGACATGAACAGAAGTGATGGAGAAGAAAAGAGAATTGTTAGCGTTTTTCGCTTCCAGCGCACTCCCGTTCGAATATCATTGACACCTATCGTAATACGAATGCAAGCTATTTTTATGTGAATGCTTCATTTTATGCTCGTTCGATTGTATTTCTATCGTAAATTATAATTTTTTTCAAACTGACTTTCCTCTGCTGATCGAAAGTGTGCGAGTGCGAGTATGTGTTGTGTACGCTGGTTGCACCATGCACGTATGTTACTTCAATCCATGTCAATAATATTCTCTAGCGATTTCACACATAAAAACTTTTCCCATTTTCACTTATTGCTTTATAATAAGACGTGTTTGGAAAATGGTTTTCGACCTCCCTCTCCTCCTCCCGCTCTGCCATTGACGCCGAGAAGTGTATGAATGATTAAAATATAGTTTTACTTTGAGGGAAAATCGGCGATACATTTCTTCCATTCCCGCCCGCTTAATGAGTGAAATGTCGATTTTAATTTTGAGCTGCTTCTTAGTTTCTTAATTCCTTTGTTTTCAATTCAAGAAACGGGGCCATTTTGCCACTAATTTCCTATCCCACCCGCTATATTACCTTATTTTCTTGTCGACGTCACGCTACGTGTAAAACGCATTCAACTCATTCACTCTCATACTATCACACTCACACAAACTATCTCAAACGTTCAAGACACTCACAATTCATACACAATTGACGTTCACATTACACTTAAACACACAACATTTTCTTGGAATAAACTTTCGTGAATTCATTTCGAGTTTCTCTTAATTTTAAACAAATACATACTAGTTCTTTCTCTCTGTGTTTTTTCTTTTTATACTTTTGCTTTCTTTAATTCAGTTTACTAGCTCTCCTATCAATTTATATGTGTATACGCAATAATGTCTATATATAGAACTTGTGCTCTCTCACTCTCTCTCTCTCTCTCTCTCTCTCTCTCTCTCTCTCTCTCTCTGTGTGTGTGTGTGTGTGTGTGTGAGAGAGTGTGTTTTTCTTCTTTCTTCTTCTAGTGTTTTTTAGGTGAAATTTTTTTACCTATTCAAGTGGAAAATTTTACCAACAGAAAATAAAGTTTTGCAGTTAACTAAAAGTACAAGAGCATAAAAAATACAACAGCAAATACGAGTCGAACGAGTTGAAATGGTTATGGTTATGGCGTCGCTGTAAGCCCCGGGAGGATGTTGATTCGGTGGTTTTGATGCAGCTGAATATTCACCATTATGTTCTACTCAAGATCCGAACCAGTTCCACGAGTGGGACAGAAACACCAGATGAACAGAAACCGAGCACAATGCGAGGGAGAACGAGAGAGAAAAGGGAAAAATTGGAAAAAGAAATACATAAATTATGATGTCAATTGAAAAGCAAGCAGCAAATATTAAATTTTCAGCAAACCAACATAAAATCAACTGTGCATGTGAACAAGTTTTATTGAATAATAAGTGGATAACAGCCAAAAACTCAACAGCATTGGCGACCCACCGACAACAAACCGTATACGGTTATGCCAGCAGTTTAAAGCATTTTCCCATTCAAATGCTGCTTAAAATGCATCTGGTATGTTTTTCTATAATTTAATTTACGAAAATGCATGCTGTTGTTGTTTTTTTTTAATCTTTTATCCATTTGAAAAAAGAATTCACTTCTGCATCTGGTCGCTGTTATAAGTTGGAACAGTGCATACAGTAAATAACAATATCCACTGGGAATTTGGTGAAAAAAAAATGTATGGAATGTGTGAAATATTTGACACATGAACATGTTTAATTCATTTTCTTCATTTTGATCATATGTCACACATTTTGCTAATTTTTGCAAGCATTTTCCATTTTGAAAGACCATTTTTGAGCCTTATATACTTCTATAGAGGAGGAAAATCATCTTTTTATGGAGAAAATCTTCATTTGAAGTGGATAATATTGATTGTAGAAGAAAAATTAATGGATTTACTGTTGAATTTTGGCCGGTACAAAACTTGATATTCAAATCTTTGTCATATGCAGAAATCAAAAGGTTTTTTTGTAAATTCATCGAATAAATTCTGCAATAAATTTCAGAATTAGCCAATTTGGAAATGGATAATCGTGGCAAAGTGTTCAAAAATAATGAAAGCATTCAAACAGTCTGCATAAAATCACAAATTCGTATTCACATACAATTCGAATGTTGGGAAAATCCAATATCCCTATTGAATGATACCAGATCATGCGTATATTGGATATTGATTTATCAGTCAGGATTGGTAACTTACCTCCGTCCTTCCACTCTTCAACACCGTAGTCGCCGACCATTTGTGAGTCTTTGGATTTTTTGCCATTCTCCATGTAGTGTTCGGTTGTTTTTACGGTCGTCGGTGCAATTAGTTCTATTTGAAAGTTTTCAAATGAATCGAAACCTCGTTAAACATTCGATTTATGTTCACAACTTTATATCGCATACATACGCAAGCACACATATATGTGTGCATGCCATGCAAGTTTTTTTTCAAAATAGAATTTTATTGCATTTAATTAGTGTGATTTACCTTCGAGTTTGATTAATCCATCGGTTTCGCCTAGCGAATTTTTTGCAACGCAACGGTAGGATCCGTAGTCACCGGGTCCAACCGTTCGAATTTTCAGCTTCATATACTTGCTGTAACCGATATTCGTTGAAGATGTCTCGTATTTGTCGCCTGATCGAGCCGCATCTACCCAGAGAAAAAGAAAACAACGGTCGAATTGATGATTCCAGTTTTTGCATAAACAAACAAAAAAACAAATCATAAATAAACAAGTTGAACGATTTGATTTTTGGTAACGTAGGCATTGTTATTCTCCAGATAGAACGATGTGTTTTTTCATCGGTAAAATTACGACACCGAGAGAGAGAGAGAGAGAAAATGAGCAATCGATCCTCATTTATCATTGATAAATATGCAATCGAAATAGGCATATGTCGCGCTCGCATTGCTTGCAACTAAAATGATGTCATCCGTTTTATTACCACCCTTGTTCCACTGATACTATGGTCGTTGCTTGAGCCAAACGAGAATATAATAAATCTTCGCATTTACGACTATGTTTCTTTTTCTCCTCTTCGTCGGTACAAATTCAAATCAATCGAATCGGTTGAGTTTCAGCACCCGTGTCGTCACCTTTACCCATGCTCATACTCACAAAGGTACGACACACACCCGAAGCCGACGAAGTAAAAAAAAAACTTACTGACGAGGGTTTTGTTCGCAATTGCTTGACATTTTTTCTTGTGTCGGTGTGTGCTCTCTTGCTTCACTCTCTCTCTCTCTCTCTCTCTCTCTCTCTCTCTCTCTCTCTCTCTC